TAGCCCCAAATCAGGATCAATAGTGGGAGGATGTTTTTGCCTACCAATTGGGGGTGGGGGGTAGGCTGCTGGCCCTCTCCCTAGGCCAGAGGCAAGGCCCAGGCTCTTTCATTCCCTTTTCTCAGGGCCCAGGTTACTAATTAAATCAAAACCACACAAAGTAACACAAAACAAAGCTACTCCCCAGACCAACCCAGGGTACAGGGGCCTTTCCCCTGCACCCATCCCTCTACTCCACATAACCTTCCCTTCTGCAGCTCCCATCCAACTGGGCTCTCTCAGCTTCTTTTCTAGATAACACCTGACTGACCCCTTCCCAGCTGGGTCTGATAATTGCACAGGGCAGTCAGAGCCCAACTCCCCACCTCCCCCCAGCACTTTAAGAGGCAGAGCACCCTGTTAAAAGGTGTTTAATACAAAATGGGACCTAGATCTACCAAATTTTAGCTTCTCCCCCTCATGGATTCCTTGATCTCCCTCCTCATATGCTTCCAAAATGAATTGCTCTCCCACATCCCAGCCCCTCAATGGACTCCTGGACTTCAGTGGTTTTTGTGTGTGAAGGCCACAATCTGGCCTTTGGTTTCTTACCAACCCAGCAATGCACTGGGTCCCCTCCGACTGCCAGGCCCGTAGTCGAAGGATCTGGCCTGAGTTAAGCCCTGCTTGCACGTTCCTCCCCTTCCCCCCTCCGGGTGATAGTGGTTCCTGGACATTCCAAGTGGTGTCAGTTCTTGTGATTCATTGTGAATCTTGTGAGATTTGGTGGTTTTTTGTAAAATCCCAGCTGCTGGAGTCACGTTGTTACGGGTTTTTATTTTTAAAAAAGTAACTTTCTAGCCCTCACGGCTGCAAATAAATCTTGAAAGGGGGACCCCTAAAGGTTAAAACTTCAAACAAACCCAAAAACCAAAACCAAAATGAAATCACATATGCCAGAATGCAAATAAAAATACCCAGCATTTATTATTTTAAAATCTTGTGACTTTTTGCCACTCTCGTGATTTTTTTGGGGGTCAGACTCCTGATTTTTAAATGCTTGGCATTGTCTATGCTGTATTGAGCGCCAACAAACACAAGGCCGCGACACTTTATAACAACGAACAAATGTATAAAGATGAAATAAAATCACAAAAGAGCGTACTGGGTGCAAACACTGATCATACAGGGAGGAAAAGTACAGTTGGGGTCACCAGTATGTAGGACAGTGAAGACGAGGGTGTTTTCATTAGGAGAATGATACCCAAAACGAAGCATCACACACATTCCAAAATCACCTTTGTAATGTAACAGTATACTTTATAACAATAATATTTATGGATTTATTATTTATACAATCCCATAGTTGTGCATGACACTTGACAGACAAATCAAATGACAGACAAGTTGTGGATTTGGCAGGTTAGAACAGGGCTGGAAGGATTAGGTTTGGCTGAGTAGATGGTGTGGTGCTGGTAGCTATGGAACGATGGTGATGTCTACACTTAGAGCTGGGGGTGTGAGTCCCAGCACAAGCCGACACTTGCACTAGTTCTTATCGAGCTAGCATGCTTAAAATTGTAGTGAAGCCACAGGAGTGCAAGCAGCGGCGTGGGTTAGCTGCCCCCAGTACTTACCCATGTGTGTGGGTTTGTATTCAGGGTGACTAGCCCATGCTGCTACTGCAGCTACACTGCTGAGAGCTAGTGCAAATGTGTGTATGTGAGCTGGGAATTACACCCCTAGAGTAGAAGTAGCCTACGTTTCATTATTTTGTGTCCTGCATCTTACAATATCTAAGAGCTCAGCCTGCAGGCAGAGACAACAGCCATTTTGTTCTCAGACTTTAGTACAGATTGTTATAGAGAAGTACTCACTGTGCCCTCTCAGGGAAACTTTACTTTTGTTTCTTCTTTTGTTTCCTTTAATCTAAAATAAAAGCAGTTTAGCCTGAAAGTTTATGGCTGTTATTTGTGTAGAGTCAATCTTTCCTTCTACCAATAAATAAATAAATAGAAGAAGAAGAGAGAGAATATGTATAGTTAGTAACTAAAATTTACAAAAAAAGGAAAGTTAATTATTTTTAAATAGTACTTAAAGGCTAATAAGTGTTTGTGTTAATTAAAAAAATCACTATTCTACTCTGCTTAAAAATAAAATAAAAGTACATTAATATCATGGAATATGATCATGATTTTATTTCTGAATCTGTTTTGAATCTCAGCTTCTAAGTCATTCATTTTTTGAATAACTAGTACACGTTTGCATTAGTGGGAAATAAAGAAAAAAACGTTTTAGTCAATCATTTGAAAAAGCTTTAGAAATAAACATCAGTATTTCTTTTTGAGTTTCGCCAGAGATAAAAGTCAAATCCTTCCAATCCTAATAATAAGGAAAAGAATTAAAACATGAAAATGATGTATAATCTGGGTCTGACTCTGCTTCATGCTAATTCAGTGTAAATAAAAGAAATTGACTTGGAAGTTGATTAAGTAAGGTCAGAATTAGGTCCACCATTAAGAGTTGAGATCTAGGCCAGATTGGCTGTGATCAGCTATATCATGTGGATGTTGCGAGAATGGATCATGCATATACAGTCTTGATCCTGAAAACTCTGATGGTCATAAATAACTTTTTAGTATGTGAGTATGTATGGGTGCAAAGTTACTTATCTGTGTAAATATTTGTAGGATAGGAACTCTGTAATCTGAAGATCTTTCCCATTCTTCAAGGCTGGAATTTCTTTTTAAAAGAACTCAGTGTTTATTCAACGTAATGCACGCTGCAGGGCATTCTCAGGAACTATAGAAGGTCTCATGACTCCCAGATGATCTCATTCTGCTAATGGTCATAGCAGGAAATGGAAGCTATTTTTTCCCAGTCACAGCACAAGTGATTTGAAATTGACTGTCTGTAGTCAGGGAAATGCTGATGCATGTGTACAACATTGTTGGTCTGGTTACAGGAATCCCCTGAAGTTCTCCCACGTTCTAATATACGTATACTGAATAATCACTTTAAATGAGACAGATGCAGTTCTCTTGGGCACTGTTGTGGTTCAATGCAAGATGCTCTTCATGGACAGCAGTGTTTCAGGTTGGCAGTGGAGGCTCTGTCACTTTGCTGCTGCCGCTGCCACCAGGGGGCTCCTGAAAAACCAGAGGATGCCTCTTGCTAGTTCATTTCCCCCTTAAATATTGTTAGTAATTCCCCTCCCTCCCAGTGTAAGGGCTAAATCTTCTGTCCTGAAGATCTGTCTCCATGGGGGAGCAGAAAAGTACTAACCAGCTCAACTTCTCTTCTGCTTGCAAGGACGATCCTGCTACTGGGGGACTGCTAGAGTGCACTGCTCCAATATATGGTCAGTGTCCATCCTGTAGCTAACCCTGTGCTTGGCAAGAGTTGGTTCAAGGTGGCTTATCCCAGCTCCCACTCTCTGGGTGGGCTCTTAGGTAGAGATGGTCCTGTGCTGCATAGTTTAGATCTAGATTTTCCTCAGTTTTGGTTTGGCCCATTATAATAGCTGCAAAATTTGGACCTGGTTCTGGACTTCCCAAAGCCTGGGCATGTTCAGATCCGGGGCCTTCGGTAGCCTCCTGCTAGACAGAGCACAATACAGCCCCCTGGGACCAACATTTTCTGAAGTCCAACTTCGGCAGCCATACATGGAAGCACCCAAAGGCAGTGGCTGCTCTGGAAAATGTGGCCACAAAAGACCTGCCCCCCCGGTTGTCAGGCCCGCCCCGGTGAGCC